TAACAAAATCTGTTTGATTGATTCACAATGGATATTCAATTGTCTTGTCATGCATCTGGTCTACAAAATGGGCCCGGTTTGGCCTGCCGCCCATTCATTAGATCCTAAACGATAGCACTACAGCCAGTTAATCACAAGTGACAGTCAGTGGGGGAGTAAGTCCGTCATCAGTCAGTGAGTCAGTCATCAGTCAGTGAGTCAGCCAAAGACGACACCAGGTTTGGCCATCGATCTGCGACCATCAGGAATCGATTACAGGAATTGAACTTTAAAGCACTAAATAATCGTACATAGTCAAGAGTGAATCTAACTCAACAAACTTAGTCACAAAAGTCCGTAAAACGTAATTGTTCATGTAAATGACAAATCTAGTTATCCTCACTTGAATAAGCTTCTTGTGTGCGTCGATGACGTCAGTAGTAACGAAGCGTAGCACGTCGTTACAATAGTCTGGTAATATGTCATGAATAATGCTGGAAACAAGTTTGCATTTGCAGAGTCAGCAATGCTAGGGGCCATTTTATCTATATACCGCGTCGCCGAACTGTTCAGGTGTTGTCTCTCTGAACATGTAGATAGCAGTCTTGAAGCAGAATTGCGATTGTATCATTAAACAATGACGCTGCACCGAGATGCTATCGCTGCAGAAATGAGATACGAAGATAGCCTGGAAAGATGGTCAACAGTGACAGACAGACATTATGTGCATTGAGGTATCGCTATGAGGGTTCTTATGTGCCAAGAAAAAAACTCTCGAAACTTAATTAGTTTTGTTTTATTTATATTTTAAGAACTAAAGATCAACCACTTCACGAGGTAAATTTGATTGTCTTTCGAGCACAGTCTTCAGGTCCCATAGTATAACTCCATAGATTCCACATCCGAAGCTTTGGCTAGGTTTGTACAGGTGGCTTATTCTATCTTGACAAAAAATCGTCAAAAGAATAACAAGTGTTTTTCGTCACTCGACACGTGGTTAGATCCGGCGTTTACTTCCACTTCCAACTTTCTGAGCAGGATCTCCATGTGTTTTTGTTTTAGGCAGATGGTTATTTTGGAGTCCGGATATTGGAAGCCCAAGCTACGGTTGACAGAAACCTTGCTCCCCCTCTCTCGCAGGCGGCGAACGCCTCGGGCCGAATTATCGTAACATAATCCGCGTTTTAATTTTTCATTGATTACACAATTCGGCTGCCATGTATTCCCATGGCAATAACTGCTGCCATAACTTGATTAAGCTATCAGTTTCGGGATAACCAAGGGTTTTCTTGAGAGTGAGCGAGCCCAAACTCTGAATGCACTTCACCGATATATGCTAGAACCGTGGATGAGGATGCACGGATGAGGGAAATAAAAGGAAAACGTTCTGGATGTCACCACTCATCACGGGTTTTCTTAAAATCTAAACGTTATCAAGTTATATCTGCTCCGTAGTTACCCCGGCTATAGGCAAGAGAGTCAACTATTAAGATTTGATAAAAAAAAAGACAAGACTTTTATACATGTCTGTCACACAAAAAGACACATTGTTAGTAGTAGAAGTACTGTCGAACTTTTGCAGAATGTTAAAACTACACAACACTTGCTTCATCATTTCTTGGGAATGATGAAATGCACAAAAGGTTCTTAAAACATTATCTTATCTCTGTAAAAAGTTATCCTCATCAAGAACTTATACACATAATGTTTTATCACAGACGTAACTTTACACTGGTGAACTTAATCGTGTATTCCGAACGCGGGGACAAACACTTGTCAAACACTTGTGACAAACTCTAAACATGTAAAGATGTTGCATCGAACAGACCAATTTATTAAGCATAAAGGGGAATCGGAAGTGACACATCCCTGCACCGTGATATTACAGAGAAGTGTACACAATGATCTACGACTCGGCTGAAATCGCAAAGACGAGAAAACACACTGTAGCTTGTTTAGACAGCATCACTAGGCCAAGCTATCTCTGATTGATCGAGAAATATAACCCCTTTGTAAAACGGAACACTAAAACAAAATACGGTCCTCTTTTTTGCATTTTGCTGAGCACGTGCTCACCGATTGCATAAATATTTATCGTGGTTTATGGGGCGATATATGTCACACGCTTAAATGCCTGAGTGATATTTGATTAATAGTATGTTATAACTCAACCAAACCCTATTAATAGAATCGCTGCTATCGGGGGTAGATAGTCATAAATAATGGTACCACGTTCGTATACGAGGAGTTTGCTCTACATCCTTGAAGTCGACCGTAGCTTTAGAAAAGGTCAAAATAATAAAAGCGCCATTCGTGTGAGATGGACCGTAGAGTTTAGGAAATTTCATACATGTTGACAAAGGGTTAATAATTACGACAAAGAGTGTCGGGGAAAAGATTTGTTTCGGCAATTTGATTTCTCTTACAATTTGCGATGTTTGCTAAAAAATACAGCCAATTTAAAGCACAAACCTCGAATATATAAGATTATTCTGCTTCCGCAATTGCACTTAATTATGCAGTGAAATATTTAATGTCGCCACGATGGTATACCTTATAGAAGATACGATAGAATATAAGAAATCCATATTTTCCCGTATCATAGTGTCATATCACATATGTGCATCAAATACTCCCATAACCATGCTTCTGGCATTTCTACGCATTTCCTGGGCCGATGACCCAACTTAATCAGATTGTGGACAGATTTTGTAACTTGCGTTGGAATAAGATGGTACGTTACGTCAACAAGGCAATCACTTTACGAGGAGAATCTTCGAAGGGAATATGTACATCAAATACCCTAGCCTAAATATATTCTTTTATAGTCTAGTTTATCAGATTAAAAATGTGATTGTTTTCAAGATTGGGACCAAACGATTGCCCCAAAAGTTAACAAGACTATAGTCAAGCCTAATAAATTAAGTTGGCCCATTTGGTCTAGGGACCAAGGTAGTCATCTCAGTTGTGGTTCAAGGCGAGGCTTAAGCACGTCTAAATCAGAATAAGGAGTTTCAGGTTGGCCCTGTGGGACCAGCAAAATGCCTAAGGGTTAATGTGACAGACGTTAGTATGTGCTTCAAAGTTGTAACGAGTCACTGATTTTTGTGACTCGAGTCGAGTCGAGTCATTTTAAAGAAGTGACTCGAGTCGAGTCGAGTCATTAGGTCAAGAAGGTCGAGTCGAGCCGAGTCGAGTCACAGTGTGTAGTCGAGTCGAGTCGAGTCGAGTCAAATGCTTAGAGTCAATTCGAGTAACTAATGTTTGAACACTATATAACAAATAAAGACAACAGTTAACAGGAAGTGAAACATCGGTCTTATAGGCTTGGCTTCGGGTCTACAATCCTGGCCAAATCTCGCTGGGCCCCCAACCCCCCGGCCGCCGTTCAATGTTGTCTCTCATTCCGCGATGTGTGCTCCATCAGCTGGAGAGAACAACATTGACCGGGGAGCGGGGGAGTTGGTGACCGTGGCAGGCTCAGGAAGTGTCCCAACCATTTTGGCCAGGGTTGTAGAATTGTTTTCGCTGATCCCTGACGTAAACCCAAATTGCATTATACAAAACTTATGCTTATTTAAAAGTGGGCATGTTTCAATTTAATTTTTTAAAGGAAAGCATAAATTTAGCCGGCGTTCGAATCCAAGAGCTTAATAAGAAGTCACCCAAATACAATGATGAAACAACGAATTGGAAAATGTGTTTAAAGTCCAGTTCCTGAATAGTATTTTGTTCGTTCCAGAACCACAAGGTGGAAGTCTGTGAATATGTTTATACACGACAAGTGGCCGCTGTACCGTATTGTATTCGCAAAGCGACGTTTAAGTCATTGCAGATATTTTTTTGGAAAGGTCGGCTTTTATTTTTGGGACTCGGGTCTTATTAGCCTTCGCTCGAGTCGAGTCGACTTATTTTTGCTCACAGTGACTCGAGTCGAGTCGAGTCATTCACCCATAGGAACTAAAGTCGAGTCTAGTCACCAAAAATTGTGATTCGAGTCGGACTCGAGTCGAGTCATTGACTCGAGTCATTACAACTCTGATGTGCTCTCCCCAAGAGTATCTTGTTTGGCATGTACGTACCTCTGTCCATAACACACCGCAGGAGGGTGATGGATAAATAATAGATTAACCTTCAAATGTTTTGATTTCCAGTACCCTGACCTTTCATTTAATGTTATCACTGGACATGGTTGAGTAGGGAATGGAGAAATAGCACCTCCTACCATATAGTCAAGTCCTTGCTCCATCCTCCTACGGGCGTAGATAGAAGGTCTTCCCTTGTCCTTTACTTTAGTCTAACTTAATTAAGCTTACATGCACTTTCCTGTGCATCAGACAATGAAAACAAATTAGAGGAACATGACACTAATGGGCTTATTATCTCTACCTTTAAAGACGTGGGGCGGAGCTTAGATTAAACGTTTTCCTTCTAACCTTTCATTCTATAACTAAATTCCCACCTGTTTGCGAGCGTGTATGGAACTAACTCAAGCTTTTAATCAAAGATTTTAGTGCGTGTATATAGGGGACTTATACCATTCACCACCATCACTTCTCTCAAATGGGTATACAAGTTTGCTTCCTTATTTCTCACCAAAGATTTTAGGGACCTGTGCCCTCTGCCCCCAATAGTTTGGCTACGCCACTAGCACACGTACCTCGCAAACCACATGTAAAATGTTGTTTAGCTTCGATGAAACATGACTAATTTGTTTGTATAAACACGATTCCGACAACAATATTTTCTGATCTGGTGATATAACAAGTTAAGTGGTTATACATCATGACCGACTGAATAACTGGCCTTCCCGAAAACGGTGCATGTTCTGCTTAGAAAGTGTTAAAAGATCTTGCATATTGCCAGTGACGTAGTTTACATGCAAACATAATTCAGACAGGAAGGCTGGGGGCGGTGTTCATCGAAACACCAAACAATCTCCCTGAAATCCAAAGAGACAACGCGAAACCACCGCAATTAAAAGCAATTTTGCTTCCATACACAAATTTTTTTGAGGGGGGAGAGAGAACAACAAATAGTAAAAGTGCCAAAGTGAAAAACATAATTGACAACTCTCGGAATTTGGTCGGACGTAGGGCTGATATTTTATTTGTCAAAAGCGGTGAAGAATGGGCTGGCGATCCCGACCCCCGCGAACTGGCTGAATGCCGCGCGACTCGGGGAGAAAAAGGCGGCGTTACACGGGGCCGACGTTTGCGGGGTACGCCGTGGCAAGAGGGGTAAGGACTGCCTATATTAATGTCATGCCGAGCTGATGACTGGAGGCGTTTTATCTGTTAACCTTGACGTGTGTGGTGATATCTTCATTGATTCGGACTTTTTTTGTTCACACGAGCGGGGCTATATCGCTGTATAAGTGCAGTTGCTGGGTTTACTGTACAGAACACTAGTAGGAACATCCCAGGTCGGACAACAAAGCGTTAAAGCGGTAAGTCGAACTATTTATTTTACTATAAAGACAGTAGAATCAATTTTAATTTCTTACTTACAGAATAATTCAAAAACAAAAAAATGTGCTATGTTCAGAAGAGGATAATGAAATAATTATAATTCTGTTTGTCAGAAAAACATCGCTGTTAAACAACTCACCTTTTTCAAGTAATGTTTAAGCAGGAATCAGTGAAAGCTGCCATTCACAATGACATTGCAAAATTATACATGATTGTCAACAATAGCTTAACCGATTCCTGACGCGATGATATTAGCGAATGTGAGTGAAAGAATACGTATACATGATCACACAGTGTTATCTCTTCCGAGACAGGCTCCGCCACCTGTTGTTAATCACTTCTTACATTAAATTCAAATTTCGATGAGATATGCGGTTGCACAGTTCTCTACTCAGTATATCGGTCCAAATTATTTTAGTCCAGCTTATAAGAATTATTACGGAGCTGTGGCCCTACAGCAAGACACTTTACTTCAATTCTCGATAATCGATTGCGGAAACCGCTGCTTAATCGAAAACGCACCTGTCACTCGATAAGCTCGGTGTCCGAGTTGTGAAGACGTGTATGATAGTCGCGGGTTCGATTCCCACCAAAGTGTGCTTGTGGATTATTCTCACCAGCTCAATTAAAGCAGTAAGCATTGAGTGCTTTATAACATGACGTCGGGGAAAGGGAAAACCAAAATCTGTTGTATTTAATGTCACACATGCACTAAGGCTTTCCCAATGGCATGCGATTTGACCAATTTAATAAAACTATGCGTAATTCAATTTTGGTGTTACATCTTAAATACAAGTAGCGATATGTAGCCGAAGGGGTTCTTGTTGAACCAGTTGTCTGAATACATTTCTCCAGGGATGTGTTCAACTGCGAAGAGCGCAAATGTGGACAAAGTGAACGATTTACTTTAGATGTTCACCTAATAGATCGCGAACGTGGGCAGCATCTGCGCACGTTGTTCGCGTACAAATGGAACTCGCCCTCAATTTGTCTTACTTGCTCGAAAGGTGAAGGAAATACCCAAAGCTCGCGCATAGGCGTTTGTAATGTTTTAGTCCTAACACCCAAGTGTGTCTTGTCGGATGAATTATCCGCGAGCGTTCACTAGGGGTCTGTGATGCAAGTGTGTATACTATTTGTTAAGAGGAGAAACACTGGTACGCCTTATCACATTATGTCACTGCTGCACAGCAGGTGCTACGCTTAAGGCTAAGATTTGACAAGGAAATATGGTGTGGTCTCTGTAGAATCATCTACAGCCGAAGTCACTTCAGATCATGTAAGGACCCACATACGCGTGGCTTGCTGCCAGGCAGGATGTATGGTTTGCCTCGATTGTCAGGTCTTAATAAATGAGATTTGAGTCGTGATGCTGTGAATTCAGAGCAGTGGATTCCGTGCTCGGGACACTGTATAAACAAGCTCAATCAATTATATAAACGGATGAATTATGAAAAACGGAATAGCTAAAATATTCAAACTCAAGCGTTAAAAAAAAAAAAATTGGGGGAGGGTATACAGCTTTCGACACAAATGTATCAAATAATATTTTGTCTGTTTCTATAGGAGTTTGCCAAAAAATCAAAACTAAAGTGCCTTCTAAACAAAATATGGTTAAAATGTGGATAACACCCTTTTCATCGTGACATTATTCCCAAGTTTATCAACCGGCTTTCGGTTCCAATGGATCTATGAATTACAACGATCGTTAACAATCAATAAACTTTTTTTTAAAAATCATTGTCAACACGCGTTAACCCGAACTAACAGGCACATTGCTGTTGAAGTGCACGGGGAATTCGAACCAGCAATCTTTAACCAAAAACCCACAATATTATGGGAGGTAAGATGAGAGATTTCTGTCGTTTCTTCAGAAATTATGCGATCTTAAATTTGTGTTAAAACTAAAGATTGTATTAAAAATAAAAGTTAAAAAGTTACAAACCAATGTATCTGAGATAAATGTGTTTTGCAGAAATTGGCGTGGCTGATTTTCCTCATGTAAAAGGCGAATAGGTGCAACGTCATCTTTCAGTGAAATTATCAGATTGAAGCATCTCTAGACATCCGTCCACTTGAAAGTGTATTTTCATCTCATTGAGTCACTGACCTGAAAGTTATCTCAAACTCCACGCACTTCCCCCGCTCTGGGGCTAATCTACGAGACTTGTCGTTCTAAACCAAAGTACGACCATCTGCAATAATGTAACATTTTCAGAGACAGTCGCAACAAACATGACGGCACCGGCTTTTGAACCCCACCCATGGGCGTCGCAAGGGGGGGGGGCAAGGGGGGCGCTTTGCCCCCCCCCCCCGGAAAGGCCAAAAAAAAAAAAGAGAGAGAAAAAAAGAAAAGAAAAAGAGGTGCGAAGTCATAGTGGTGTAAATGTAATGAGTTGGGGGAGCAAAATGTCCCTGCCCCCCTCCAAAAACTGAGAAATCGAGAATATGTTGAGAAATACAGGATTTTTTGCGGAAAAATATGTTTTGCCCCCCTCTAGAAGAAATCCTGGCGACGCCCATGACCCCACCCCCCCACCCCCACCCGACATGCAGACAGCCATGTACTGTGAAACTTGACAGCACTTTGCAACTTTGATGACAAGTTTCGCACCAAAATTTGTCAAAGACGTCGATGAGGCCACGAAATGAAGATGACTCGCTTATCCATTTATGGCAATCCTGCAGGTATTTTTATCTGGGATGTACTTTAAACCAACAGGGCAAATGTTCCATTTTAACCATGTTCCATTTATCAAGGTTCTATTATTTTTTTCTATTTCGCTCGGGGTACAGACTGTCTCTATGTTCTGTCAGCACATTGGATTCACACCATTTACGAAATTAGTTAAACTCCTAACAGTATTAGCAACATGCACTTACACGAGACTGTCAAATTACTAGCCACACGGAGAGAGGTTAAAGCGGAGTTGCAACGGAGGTTCTAAATAAACTGAAATAAAAGAAATATATATATGAATATTAAAAGAAAAAGAATCTAGCACACCTTTACAGGGATATGGTCATCAACACACCCAACGAATAGGTAAAAAAACTCTTGACTTCAACTGTTTATTATTGATGTAGCTGTGGTGAGTTTGAACATCTATGGGATTCTGCAAGTGCAATAGTAAGGCCATTGATATACTTTCTGTTGCGAAGATCTACCATATCATTCTCCCATTTGCATGTGAACATTTGTTATTCCGTCCAAGCATCTCAAATCAAGCACGACGTATTCGAGTGCCTCCCCCTCGGAAACAATCCAATCCTTCTAGCCTAGCAATCTAGCCGAGGATCTATGGCACTCCAGACGAAACTCAAGCCAGTCAGGCATAGTACGATCCATCTATCAGTACCATCGATCATCAACAGAGAGGGACAAATGTAGACTGGATCACGGCGCTGCAAAGCCGAAAACATTACTTAGCAAATGTCATTTGTTAAGCGACTAGAACAAGGCAGGACTAGTAAAGCTGGGCCCAGAGCGCTACAAAAGTATTCAATTGAATCAGAATGACTACAAGTACAAGTCTGCACATTAAGCTGTAGTGGTATTACTCCACTTCCGCCGTTCGCGTGAAGACTTGACTTATTTATTACATTTCTTTACCCAGGGTATGCCCGAACAGTTTAACACTACAAATGACTACACACATGTACAAAATACAATACATTACAAATACAATACAACACAATAAAATAAGATAAAAGCATATGGGATTACTGCATGATTGTAAAGCAACTAGTATAAATATTGTTCAACTATTACAAAGAAACATGTACAGTTTGAAACAACACCGCTTACAGACTTTCCTAAAGGCCTTTGGTGAATTAAGTGAACACGAAGAATTTGGACATTTCTTGCGACATCGGAAAAATATATTTCTATAGGCCTACATTCGCTGATTACGGGGGGGGGGGGCGAAAACCCGTGAAAAACCCTTTTGGGAGAAAAACGGGAAGATTCCCATCCGGCTCCTTATTATTGCCTACACATATCATAAAGGAACACGAAATAAGCGGCGCCAGACTTATGCACATGTGGAGTAGATGCTGCATGACACGCAGTGAATGACCACCAGTGTAATTCACAAATGACAGTCACTTAGTAGGTCAGTCCGGTACAAATCGGCGAAGAATTCAAGAAACAGTCGCCAGCAGTATGCCATTTTGGCTAGTAACCTGCAAGTATTTTGCTATGCTAAGTACATTACTGATCCATTTTCTACTGGTACGCGGGATCGTTACTATTTCCTTAGCACTTCAAAACACTATTGCTCGAATTTTCCCACATTCGAACATTAAGTCATAATAATTGTTGCTAGGCATAGTGTACAAAAAAATGGAGTTAGTCACGTTTTACTGCAGAAAACAGTGTTAAGTGCTTTCGTTATATCGAGGAGACGTTGCACTCCCCCCCCCCCGGACGCGAATTTGCTGTCGAGCTCTTTGATGGCTCAGTTGGATAATGCCATGGTTTTGAGATCGGAGGGTGTGAGTTCGAAACCACATTTTTCCAAAGGGAAATAAAGTCCGAATTTCATTTGGTTCGAATTCATTTCTTTTTTTTATATATTTTCCCCTCATGTTTTAGGGAAGTAAAGTCCAAAATCTCATAGCGCACACCCCATTTGCTTAGGGCCTATGTCGTTTGGGGAAGAAAATTCGCCCCTGATAAACATAATGTTCATTATTAACCGGACTAATCACCAATTGCAATCGGCAGGTATGGTTGTTGGAATCAATGTTATATGCTTTACTTTCGATCAGTCACGGTCACCCGTGTACTTGTCTCCCTCTAATATAATGATTTGTCCTCGCCTTTTTCCCTTTTTTGCGCTGATTTAACAGTCACGAATAGAAATTAAATTTTAACTTCTCTGCTCTTAATGTGCCCATTATCAAAGTCGTCGTCTGGCAAATAGAAACTCTCTTGACATCGCCAAACTCTATGAGTGCCGTTAATGCATTTTGA